CCAAGGGGACGCAGTGGTTTCGTGGCTAAGATGCTGAGCTTGTCGATCAGAAAGGTCATCAGTTTGGCAGTTCGAATCCCTAGCGTCGCGTAACGGAGTGAGCTCCCGTTACTTGTCCCAGCTTCTGCCAACCTAGCAGTTCGAAAGCATGTAAAAAATGCAAGTAGAAAAATAGGGACCCCTTTGGTGGGAAGGTAACAGTGTTCCACGCGCCTTCCACATTTAGTCATGCCGGCCACATGACCACGGAGACGTCTTCGGACAGCGCTGGCTCTTTGGCTTTGTAACAGAGATGAGCACTGCCCTCTAGAGCTGGAAACAACTAGTACATGTGTGTGAGGGGAACCCTTACTTTTACCTTTATCATTTACCTTTATCAAATCTTTCTAATCAACAAAGCCAAGATTGAAATTTCATTTTTCCTCCTTCACCAGCACAAATTCCAGAAGTGATATCTAAAGAAGAACATTTTCACGCACCAAACTCAGGGGCTTCCCATTTTCACACCTCCCCTGCCGCCACCGCCTTCAGCGTCTTTAGCCCAGAGCTTGGCGGCGGTAGTGGCAGCAGCGCGGTATGTGAAAACGGGAAGCCCCTGGTCACCGCGGCTGCTCTGCGCTCTGCCCACCTGCTCACTTGCCCACCCAGCTCTCTGCCCCCTGAGTTGCCACCGCAGCAAGTTGGCCATGTGAAGTTGTGGTGCGGCGACCTGGCTTCGACGCGTTGGAAGAGGCAACTTGGCAGTAGTGAGATGGCTGCACTGGCCACACGGAGTTGTCCAAGACTCTGTGGGACTATAGGATGCAGAAGACGATGTATTTCTGTACTTTGAAATCAGTTGCATACTTCGGAAGTCAGATCATAAGCTTTGGCTCCAATGACTAGCATTGGGGCCAGCTCTCCTCACATGTCCTTGCTGTGAGAAGGACATTTTGTGTGCTGTTTTCTGTTTTCCTTCATTTATGCTTGTAAAAGCAAGACACTGGTGCTATGAGTGTGCAGCTGAATCTCCAAGGATCTTCTAAAGGCATTCCAGCTGGCAGTGGTCTTTGGGAATGGTTTGCCAGCTCAACTATTCATGCACTGTTTAGATCATTGTCCTAAAATGCCCTCTTCTCTCCCAGTACAACCACAGCAACATTTTAAGGCATGAATTTTTTTTTCTTCTGGCTGCACAGAAGATTCTAAACGTTTGCCCTCTGCTCTAATCATACATCGTGTACAACTACATCTAAGCTATCAGCAATTCTTACCTGATAATTTAACTTTACTGTCATTGCTGTTACATAAATGGGTATAATTTACCTCTTGTGGATCCTCTAAACCTACTCAGAATAGCAAAAACATTCCTTGGCTTAACAGTCGGTGAGCACCAGTTTTAACCTGGAAGCGCTATTGACTATCATACTGGGGGTTGATTCTTTTAGCTCACCTTAAAATGGTTGCAGAAAAACTGTTGAAATGTTTAAATGATTTAACTGTTTAAATATGAAATCAATTATTATGCTACTAAAGTTATTCATATGCCTTTGGGTATAAAAAAAATAGGGGTTTATTTTTGGAAAGACAAAAAAATCTTAAAATTGTAAAGGATTTTAAACTTCAACAGCTGGCTCTGTTGAATGTTTACATAAAATTAACATCGACATAAAGATCCAATTTAATAGATGTTGTCAATTTTGCACTATTTAGCATTATTAGAGTAATGTGTTCGCTGAAACATTATTTCTGAGTGATACAGCAGAGGAGTATTAGCAACTTCATTATTTGACATTCTATAAAACTGTTCCCTCAATACTGTTCAACTATTACGAAGTCTGCAGTACTATTACTGTTAATCTTCTCATCACTCCTTATCACCCATCCCCTCCCACTTGTGACTGTATGACTGTAACTTTGTCGCTAGTATCCTTACGATTTATATTGACTGCTTCCTAGTAAGATTTGATTGCTTACTGTCCCCTATGACTATCATTAAGTGTCGTACCTTATGATTCTTGACTCTTGACGAATGTATCTTTTATTTTATGTATACTGAGAGTATTTTCACCAAGATAAATTCCTTGTGTAAAATTCCTTGTGATAAATTCCAATCACACTTGGCCAATAAAGTATTCTATTCTATTCTATTCTATTCTATTCTATTCTATTCTATTCTA